CCCCCCGCCCTGCCATCTGGTTGCCATTCTCAATTGATGGGGAGGGGGGTAGCGGCGCGGGGGGGCGTATTGTGGAACCTGGCCTTGGGGCGGCAGGTGGAGTAAATCCGGCCCTGGTTGTTCCAGTGTGTGTGTGCTCCAGGCTTAGTAAATTCCTCTTAGTGTAATTTCAGTGAGCACATATTTTGAGTTATTAGTACAGTGCTATCTTAAAGGATATCGATGGTAAAACACTAAAAGATAAATATGCACAGTAAACTCCCAGGTATCCGGCACCCATGGGGATCGGCAGATGTCAGATAACTGTAGTTTCTGGTTGCTTCCAAGTTAATAGTAATTCTCAAGCAATCCCCTCAAGCAATTCCACAGCCAGCAGGTGAATGGAAACAGCGGGCAGTGGATGGGAGCAATAGCCACACTGCTATTTGCTATTAGTGCTGTGGGGGGTTCTTGAGAGTTACTATTAACTCTCAAACAATCAGAAACTACAGTTATCCAACATGTACCGATTTATTGGCCCATCCCTGCAATACTAATTTTCTTAAAGATCAGAAGGATTAAGTTTCATCACTAATAAAATCCTAAATATTATGGGGATGAAAATGATCCCTTCTGATAGTACATGTTATGAGCTATGTAAAAATATAAAATGGTATGTCCTGGTTGTAGACAATGAACTAGGCAACAAAAACATTTACATGGACCCCTCATGTGTCTGTCATGCGGTGCTTGGACTTGCTGCCATTAGTATGATGTGCTGGAGTCAGAAAATCGCAACCCAGTCCTACGCATCAGAACCGGCTGGTCCATATATCCTATGGCCACTTCAGGAGGCAAGACATTTCCTTGTAGCAGGTGCAATAGCCAAAAATGATTGGCAAAAGGGATAGAATCTGTGCCACATTTCATTAGTCTGGGAGAGGGTATTGAAAGATACAATGTTTACAGAATTCCAGTATTCTCCTGCTAACAGGATCAATCAATACTATCCTAAATGTAAAGTTTTGTTGTTGTTTATATGTTAATGTTAACATTGGTGCATTAATGCAATGGAATGCTCAAGTATGAATAGGCTCTCAAGGTTTATGGATCTGGTAAAAGTATTCGAAAAAATACTTTACACTGTTATAGTTTAGTACAGTTACATTTTAAGGCATGGAGATGAGTAATAGGACCTCTAATAGTGTCATTCTTTTAGGGCCGGTGCAGAGCTGAGTGATCCGGGACGCACGTCCCGGGATCGCGCGTTCATGCGCGATTGCCACGTGGCCCCATTGGTTTCAATGGGGTACATCTGCGTGGCAATCGCAGAAAAAAAGGTACATGTACCTTTTTTTTGCGATACACGACACTCTTTTAGGGAAAATGTATGTTTGCCTGAAGAAGGAGCCACTTGGTTCCGAGACATCGCTATAAATGTGACACTATCTAAGTAAATAAAAGGTGTTGACTTTGCAAGTTGGAGTGCGAGTGACCATTTATCGATTTTTTACTATTGGCGGAGGCATCTGCGGTCGCATCGGCACGCACCCGAGTTTTGGGTTTGTTTTCGATCTATCTTTTAAGGAAACCACACGATCCGCCCGGCGCGACTGGGGTGCCATTAGAAAATAATGGCACCCACTGCGTGAATGTCGGTGATGGGCGACTCAGTGACCGGCGCTAATCCGCGCAGTATCGTGCACGATTACCGCGCGGTCACGGATTGCACAGGTGTGGACTGGCCCTTATTGTAGATGTTTACTTTTGCTATGGCTCTTGTTTTTATATCTCTGTTTTATTTCCCTTGTTATAACACCTAGTTTAAACAGCACAGGAGATTATAGCTCAACAATAATAATAAAACAATAATAAAGGCCCAGAGTCTTATTTATTATTTATTAGTATTAAAATAAAAGATTTACTATTCTTATGACGCACAGTGTAACATGGAGCATTCTAGGAATTTAAGTTTACTGGTATGATCCTATCTATAAATCACATTGCCAGATGAAACCTGAAAAGGAGAAACTGCAAAGAGCTAAAACCCCTGGGTGAACACAAAAAGTATTTTTGTGTTCAATTGACAGAACCTTTTTCCTACAGGGCTTCCTGTCTAATACGAAGGCATATTTGATACAGCACAACCATGTCAGTGCAGACTACTGTACTCTAATGTCTGTGCTGCAGTGGTTGCCATATCGGGTCCACTTCAGGAGGCAAGAAACGTCCTTGTAGCAGGTGCAGTAGCCACAAATGATTGGCAAAAGGGATAGAATCTGTGCCACATTTTAGTAGTCTGGGAGAGGGTATTGAAAGATACAATGTTTACAGAATTCCATTATTCTTCTGCTAACAAGATAAATCAATACTATCCTATCCCCATATAAATGAGTCACATGTATGAGCCTTCTAACAAATGAGGCATAGAAAATATCTACACACAGACAAAAAAGCAATATAGACAAAAAGAGTCCCAGGAAAAAAAAAAGCAAATAATGGTGATTGTGCAAAACAATTCCTCAGATGATTCGCAGCCAAGATCCCTGATGAAGTCACGTGTTTTGACGTAACGTACGTAGGGCAGAGCTTCTGATGTCACTGCACTGAGCTGAGCCGGACGAACAGGTTTTTGCATCGCTTTGCTGCCATTTGCCTTGCTGGTTTGATGCAGCAATACCAAATGCGTGTACTGTTTACACCATTGTGAGTACACATTTTTTATTTAATAAATTGGATTTTATTGGACGTTACGCACTATGTCCTTGTCCTTTTTCTCTTTCCTCCTGGAGTTATACTGGTACCTGTGATCTGAGGAGACCTTATCGCCTTTTCTGTGCATGGGCTTCCCTCCCCCATTAAGAAGGAAAAAAGCGCATTTGACCTAGCTCTGTGGGTCTACCTCCCCAGGTGAGCACTCACTTGTTGTCATCACTCACTGGGTGGAGGTGAAGGTCTGACCGCATTGTGTGATTATCCTTACCTGAGAGTTACATGCAGATTGGCTGCGAATCATCTGAGGAATTTTTTTTCACAATCACCATTATTTGCTTTTGTTTTTTCCTGGGACTCTTTTTGTCTATATTGCTTTTTTGTCTGTGTGTAGATATTTTCTATGCCTCATTTGTTTGAAGGCTCATATAGGTGACTCATTTATATATGTTTCAATTTTAGATATGTATGATTATTAGCTCGGCACATTATTGTTTTTTTACATTTTCCTGATATTTAGTTATATCCTTAGTGCTTGGTAGCTCTTATTTTCACATTACACTTACTGGCACTGATCACCTTATTGTTTATTTTTACTCTTGCTATGGCTCTTGTTTTTATATCTCTGTTTTATTTCCCTTGTTATAACACCTAGTTTAAACAGCACAGGAGATTATAGCACAACAATAATAATAAAACAATAATAAAGGCGTCACAACAAGGCGTCATAACAGAGTCTTATTTACTATTTATTAGTTTTAAAATAAAAGAAGATTTACTATTCTTATGACGCACAGTGTAACATGGAGCATTCTAGGAATTTAAGTTTACTGGTATGATCCTATCTATAAATCACATTGCCAGATGAAACTTGAAAAGGAGAAACTGCAATGAGCTAAACAGTATATTTGTGTTCACTTGACAGAGCCTTTCTCCTACAGGGCTTCCTGTCTATTTGTGCCACACAAATTCCTAGGTAGGTGCAACGAAGGCATATTTGATACTGCACAACCATGCCAGTGCAGACTACTGTACTCTAATGTCTGTTCTGCAGTGGTTGCCATATAAGGTCCCGCTAAAGTTAGACAATGCAGAACCCTGGTGCCCAACACATGACCCACAGTCTTCATGTGGCCTGCTGCTTCTGCCTGTGCAGCTTGTCGCATGTTGGGCACTTCCCAATATACGTTCCCATATCTGGCCTAATCAATCCAAAAAATGAAATGAATCCAAAAAAAGCCCTAAATGAATCCAGTACTGCCAATCTGAGTGATCTCCGCCCGACAATACCAATGCTGTGGGTCACTATAGTGACCACAGACATCAATGCTTGGTGGTTATTATTGCAGTCAATGGCACGAGTGCTGGGGGTTGTTATTGCGTGAATAGAAACCAGTCCTGTAGGTTATTATTACAGTCAATGAAACCAATGCTGGGGGTTATTTTTGCACTGACTGACACTAATGCAGGGGGTTGTTACTGCAGCCACTGACACCAATGCTGGATTTTGTTATTGCGGAGACTGACACTAGTGACGGGGATTATAATTGCAGCCACTAACACCAACACTGGGGATTACTATTGCCGCCACCGACACCAATGCTTGGAGAAATGATTGTAGTAATCGACACCAATGCTGGTGGATATGGTTGCGGTGACTGACACCTATGCTGAGGGTTAGTATTGTGGTTAATGGCACCAATACTGGGGGTAATTATTGCAGCCACTGACGCCAATGCTGTGGGTTATTACTGTGGTCACTAACACCTATGTTGTGGGTTATTATTGCAGTCAGAGCCACCAATGTAGGGGGTTATTATTGCATCCATTGATAATAACATGTCAGTGGATGCAATAATGAGTACTCCAGTAGATACTAAATAAATATGTTACGATTTTAAAAACAAAGTAAATTTAAAACATATACAAATAATTATAATAAAATATACATAAACATAGTATATACCAGTTTTTGCATTTTTTTAAGTGCATCTTCATTTGCATACTGTACTCATAATTGGTACACTTGTATGCAGAACTAGACAAATAATTCGTGCAACTAATATGTTCATGTTGTTGTAATGCAAGGTTTGCTTTAAGACTACAGTATATATAAAAATCTATCAATGACATAATTCTATGGCCAGATTTGGAATCTGCTCAAATTTACTAGATATGACAAAACTATACCGAGTTTTGCAGAGCTTTTTTTCTTTAGATGAATGAATAAAATGTATGCCTGCTCAACCTCATCTGCCTATTCGTTCTTTACGAGGTTAAAATGTTGTGTGTGTGTGTGTGAGCAAGAACATGACAGCATATTTTACTTCTCCTGACAACTGATTTTTCAGCTATTAGGAGAAGGCTAGCGTATTGTTGTGCAATGTATATCCAAGCTTAAAGCCCATTTCCGTTCAGTTGAGTGCTTTAGAAGATGTACATAAAATGTTCTGATTTGCTATCAAATGTATTAAGATGTCTGACCTCTGCAGATTGTCTTTTTAATTTTTACTTCATCACAGAATTACAGCAAATCCTATTTTCCATTTCAGGATGTTTTCCTGATTTGCTTTTCTTTGGTGAGTCCCGCATCCTATGAAAATGTTCGTGCAAAGGTAAGAATGGACATCCAGATTAAGACATGAATGACATAGCCTTGAATTAAATACCAGTTTTGTGTGTGCTTTCATAATAATGGCTGTAGATATGACATCTTTAAAGCAGACATAAAGTGGAGTGTGCCAAAAAATTTGCCCCCCCCCCCTCCTCCACCGAGGTGTTTGCCATAATGTGCTAATATGCACAGCACATCTTACAGCATTAGCACATTATGGTTGAGTTATCTTGAGTACAATCCCCCCCTGCACTGTCCATTGCCCCCTCCATTACCGGCACTGCCATTATCACCTGACCCTTGTCAGTGTTTCTGCTCCTTCGGCCTCCTTGTTGGCCGGGCCAGCATGATGCAACTCCCGCTCATGTGCGGCTCAGTGCACAGAAACAAAAATGGCTGAAAGGCAGGTAGGAGCATTTTGGCAGAAGAGGCTTACACAGTCTCTTCTGCTATAAAAAAATCTCTCTTTTTTTGTAAAGACAGTTTATTTCCACTTTAAAGCTAAGTAGTACCTGATCTGAAAACAGTTTTAGGTGGAGACCAACATAGTAAAGTATACTTTCGTCTCAACTCACATGTTTTCGTATGCACAGAGCAAACACGATATACTGTACATGCTTAATTTTTTTCGTTTTTTCTCATTCATGCATTGCTTTAGTGCTTGGGTCTACCCTGCTGCTTTTGTCACAGAACTGCTTCTCTCAATGTAATGCAGGATAAATATTGCCAAACACGCCCACTGTAGGCTCATTACTGCCCCTCACATATACATAGAATGATGAAGGTATCAACGTGCAAGAGCTATGATGTTTTCACAGCTACTAGTTAGATTTAAAGCTCCCTTAGTAGTTTGAATCTGGCAGATGATTCATCAAGCAGAGAGAATGGAAGCTGCACAGCACAAGTTTAAGAGATATGATATGAGAACTGTGGAATCTGACTGCAGTTGTTTACATATAACTTAGTTTAAGGCAAATTGAGTGGACTGTCTGTCTTTATGGTAGGCAATAATTCATGGCTAGCCTTAAAAGATCACTGATTGATTTTTATTGCCTCAAACTGTTTTTTAAAGAAACTCTATTACCTTACCCAAGCAGAGCAAAGTGAAAGTGACTCTGCAACAGTATCCCTTGTCTCCGGCTACACTCACCTTGCCCTTGCACTTTTGGGTATGGGGGAGCAAGTGATCTGTAGCCAATCACTAGGCTTCAACACTGTTGCATGACTGAGGAAGTGATGCCATCTCTACCCTGGGTTGCTGACATATTTCAGATCCATCTGTGGAGAAGGTAGGAGTGGCAAGAGAGCTCTGGTAAGGTGATCATAAATGGGTCACTCGATGCTCTCACTTTGCTTTAAGATCCCCAAAAAAGGACCATCTGTGCATATGGATGTTTGTCTATTCTTGTCCACTATTGTCACTGACAACTTAATTCATTCTTAGCCATCTAGGAAATATCAGTTCTAAGAACTACTTCATACCGTAAAAGCTTTTTCTGGGAATCAACAACAATGAAAACAACAGGCTAGAGATTTATCAAACTGTGTACTGTGCTGTATGTGCTACACATGGCATGAACATAAAAGCAAGAAAATGTCTAATCCCTAGAAGGGAACAAGCACCTACTTGTATAATTCCCCAAAACAAAAGATGTTCTATGAGGCTTATTCTGTATCATTTCTTTTGTTTTGTTTGCTAGTGGTTCCCAGAAGTGAGGCACCATTGCCCCAGCACCCCTATAATTCTTGTGGGCACCAAGCTGGATCTGCGTGATGACAAGGAAACCATTGAGAAGCTTAAAGAAAAGAAGCTGGCACCAATTTCTTACCCCCAGGGTCTGGCATTAGCCAAGGAGATTGGTGAGTATGGGCACTAAAACACTTTCTTAAATTATTAGTGTGAGTACCGAAAGATTGCTAAGCACTCGCAGAGTTTATTGAAAGAGAAAATGTACATAACACTACTCGTACCTAAACTGGCTACCTAACCCCGATGGAATCTAAGAACACCGGTAGGTAAGAAAAATTAAGTGGAACTATAGGCAAACCTTTTAGTCTATTTTAAATATAGTGTTAAAACTTTAGTTTTTGTATTGCTGCCTGTGTTCCCATTGGCAAGATCCAGTGTACCCATCGCACTCCTGACCGAATAATACCCTTAGAGTCGGGTGGGTGCCAAAGTGACTGCAGATGCCTCTGCAATCCAAAATAAGTGTATGTATAAAGTCACTCGCACTCCAATAGCATTTCAAGTCAAAAACAGTTTATTGACTCGATTTCTATCACATCATAAAGCGATGTTTCGGAACAGCAGGGGTTCCTTCTTCAGGCGAACAGAATGAAGTAGGGGACGCTGTTGTTCCGAAACGTCGCTGTATGATGTGATAGCAATCGAGTCAATAAACAGTTTTGACTTGAAATTCTATTGGAGTGCGAGTGACTTTATACATACACCCATTGAGAAGATTTCTCCTCACTTTCTGTTTCAGTAAATTGGTTTTATTATGTATTCCTGTCATGCTTCCAGGAAATAAAGACAAATCCCCCACAACAGTCTTTTTCTACTCTATTGAAAGCAAAGTTTTGGCTGTTGTAAATTGTACATATACAGTATAAATGGACAATTAGCCTGCACAGAAAGGTTGTCTTCTACCTTCTCTGCTAATATAAAGCCAAGTGATGGCCACCATTTTTTCAGGTCAAGAGATGTCTGGTAGGATATACAATTACTGATATAGAGGGTGTAGTCATTTGAAGGTGACATTAATTTATTTATATGCTGCTGTTATATGGTCAGTTGTCTCCTTCATAATATAGGCATGTGGCATCTGGTCAGCATAGATGGTCATGTCTGCTGTAAATAAGGGCTATCAGATGGAAATTTTGGTTGGCCCCATTTGCCCATGTGTGGCCAGCTTTACTGCTTGTGGGATACTTACCTTTCCAATTTTCGCAATAACCTAGGCAATTCTAAAGCAATTTCAATCACTTTTACCCCTCTAACGATAAAAAAACAAGTATGTGGATCAAAACAACTAATCATTAACAGTTTCCATTAAAGCAGTGAAACAATCAAAACTGCTGTTGATAGGTCTACTACATCTTATTGAATGTTTTTGTGATCAAATGCTGAAATTGCAAGAGAATAGCACTGTGTAATGCCAGCAAAAGGGTCAGGCACATGTGGGAAAAACTGGCCACTCCTGCTTTTCTACATGTCATGGTTGAGTGTGTAAGAACAAAGGAAAAACTCTACTTCCATAATACAATTGCATTTTCCTCCAGTTTTGTTTTGGTGTAACCTGTGTTTCCAGTCAGCACCAGGTAATAATGGAGGTCAGGACAGACACAATTTCAGGGTATGAGAGTCTGAGTCTCAGTACAAGGTAGAAGTTGAAAGTGTTAATACTGTAACTAGTGTATATAGCTGCTCCTTGTTTTACAGCAGCAATCTACATTTCCATAAAATGATAGCTCTTGTTTTGAAAGCGGTGGAGAAACAAGTAAAAAGCAGAAAGCCACAGATAGCAATTAACAGTCATCTATTATTCTCCAGGTGACCCCTGACTGATTAATGGAAGGGAATGTGCCTGCAAAAGTGCCTTTATATTGTAAAGTGTTTCACAAACGTTTGGCACTATACAAATCCTGTATAATAATAATAATATAATAAAATGCACATAATCATCATCTGTTCACTGCCTTATTAGATGAGTCTGCTAGGCTCGTATATACTCCCTGCTTGTCTGCTTTGTGTACAGCTAGAATTTAATCACTCTCATCAGTCTTACCATACCCAGCCGTTCAGAGATATTAGAAACACACCAAGCACTCAATCAATTAGGCCAGTCATACATATCAGTTTTCCATCAAATGTTATACAGATTTGATTATCATTTTTGATTATATTTGAAAACATTTTCTTCCAACGTGACACACGTGGTTTCATATTTTCAGTTTGATACAAACTCTCAACTGAATTAGGATCTAAAATACAATCATTTAAAAAAAGCAAACCTTGCAATCCTATTCACGATTCCAAGCTCTATGCAACACTCCAGCCATGGGCATCACTTCCCATAACTCCAGAATACAATAACTTACAGCCACACATGGTCTCTGAATTCACTTGCAAACTTTTATTACTACAAGTAGCAGAGACACTCCATCCCTCACTCTCTTCTGGCAGGAATGATGATGCTATGAGATTAAAGTGATATTATAGTCAACCTTTTTTAAGCGTTTTCAAATGCTGATTAGATCAATTACATAGGATACTGCTCCTTTATCTTTAAAAGCTTTAGTTTTCTACAGAATCATTTGGTCCCCAGAGCATTGGCCCTGATATCCTGTTTTAGGGTGGCTCCTTTCTCTTACAGGGTCCCATGGAGCTGCCCTTGTGTGTGCTAGTAAGCTGTGTGTATGTCCACAAACACACAGACACAGCAAGGCAAGACTCTCCCCTGCCCCCTGCTCCCGCTCCTCCATTCTCCTTCCTCCCTTCCCTATGCTGGTAGGTGGAGAGCTGCTGGAGACTGTTCTGCCCCTTGTGATCCTGTACTGGACAGGAAGTTTATGGAAGCAGGGTTGACACCTGGAGAGCCAGATGTTTAGAAACATGATGACTATGAGTTTGTGGGGGAAAATACAAGGAACTGTTTTGCTATACCATGTAGATTTGTTTGATCTGAATTAATTATTCATCATTAAGCTCCAGCAGGTGTGCAGTGCTTCAGTGGAAAGGGACGTTTGGAGTGCTACTTGTTAATTTTGCCAGTGTGCGGCTCTACATTTCTTTGTTTGGTCACTTTTTTTTACACCGTAATAAAATATTGCACAGGAGCAAGCTTAGAGTGGTGACTACTTTACAACACATACAGGAACCATGGGGAACAAAAGTAGCCACCCTCCAGAAGGAAGGACAGTGGCAGCATGAATTCAGAGATGTTTTGAGGATCTACAGATGAATGATACACAAATAAGTGCAGTTTTGTTAATAGTTAAGGAACTTGAATGCATTTTTAAGGTTTAACTCCTGAGTTTAGTGTCACTTTAAATCTCAAGAAAACTACTTGAAAGCAGTGTAAACGCTGTCAGTTTTTGAAAGGTATGATTGGAATATTGGATTTAAGCATGTGTGAGTGACTTTAGTACCTATTATGACAACCAAGTGTCCTCGGGAGCAATGTAATACATACATAAAGCCATGCATTAACATGTAAACAATTTAACAAGCAACAGTGAAAACAGTGGGTTATTATTTTGCTGTGCAGGCATCAAAAGATTAACAAAGCTAAAGAAAAGTTATTTTCTGATCTTCTGACCTAGGTCGGAATAGTTATATGGATAATCCATAATTGAACACCATATAAAATGTCCATCTCATGATTGCCTTAGGAGCTGTACATTCATAACATAAGAAAACATAACCATAAATAAATATCTACTTAAATCAGTATTTTCATTTATATATGCATGGGAGATTAAGTGTGCAGTTTCAATAAGCAGAAATAAAGAAAGACGCTTGTCTACCCCTTAGGCGAAACCATGGCACTGCCATCCAGAGGATCAGATTTACAAACCATTTTTAAAAATAAACTCGCCAGGGCTTTGCAAGAGACAAAATAACCAACCCCCAAAGCTGTGACATATAGAAGCAACAGGACAGAAGGGTACAGATAAACATTAAAAAGGAGAACTGAGGACAAATGCTGCTGACCTCTTTATTCTAATGTATAATCAGTACTTGCATGAAGTTGCAGCATAGCATCCTTTAGCATACAACGACCTATCTTCTTAAACTGACACTAAACTCAGGAGTTTAATATCTTGAAGTTTGCCATGGAGATTAACCTTCATCTACTATCATAGAAGGCAGATTTACTGTTGGATATCTTCATTAAACAGAAACCATAAATGCTTGCCTAGCATTTTACTTGCTTGTAGTAACACCTACTGACCTACAAGTGGTGCCACAGGATTTACTATGAGCACTGGATTTCTTAAAGGGAAGATACACCTTTCGAAGAGCTGGCCTATAAAGAATAAATTAATTAGGAACATTTATATCAAGTAGTCACGTTCAGTTTAGTATGAATACAATAATAAAATAATAATATCACCCTCCCAACAGCCATAAAGTTTATTTAATGCATTGTATAGTTTATTGCAGTGATATATAGTGATAACATTATACAGTACATAGCAAACAAGATTTATTTTATGAAGTTCTATAATCCAACTTCAGGCGCTTCATACAATTGTGCAAATAAAGCCTTTCTTCACAGTGAAAAAAAAAGGTATTTCTTCAAAGTGCAGATATCTCAAATAGCAACTAAAGTGTAGAAATGCTCCAAAAATCACCCATCAGTGGCCACTCTCACCCTTACTGGACACAGACTCAAATTCTGTGATGGACCTCATAAACCGATCAGGTATAACATTATGACCACACTTTAAATATTAGGTAGGCCCCCCTTTTACCACCAAAACAGCCATAACCTGTCAAGGCATGGACTCCACTAGATCTCTGAATGTATGCTGTGGTATCTGACAACAAGCCATGAGTAGCAGATCCTTTAAGCCCTGTAACTTGCAAGGTGGGCCCCCCATGGATCAGACTTATTTTTCCAGTACATGCCACAGATGCTCAATTGGATTGAGATCTGGAGAATTTGGAGGCCAAGTCAACACCTCAAACCAGAGACGTAGCTAGCTCCTTTTGTGCCTGAGGCAAGAACAGAAAATTGTACCCCCCTCAACAGACGTGTGATGTCACCCAACGCTGCGCATGTGCGGTGTCATGTGACATCATACTCCCCGCCTCCAGGATAAAATGCGCTGGTGGCCAAATCCAAGATAGCGTATATTTGTTTTTCGATTGATGAAACTAATGAAAACATTTTAAAGTAACATCCACATGAATGGCAGGACCAAAGATTTCTCAGCACAACATTGCCCAAAGCTTCCCCAGCTAAGTGATACACACAACTGGCCATTCACATGATGTAAAAGAAAATATGATTCATCAGACCAGTTCAACAGCTTCCATTGCCCCGTGGTCCAGTTCTAATGCCCACATGCCCATTGTAGGGCTTTTGGTGGTGGACATGGGTTAAGATGGGCACTCTGACTGGTGTGTGGTTATGCAGCCCCATACACAACAAACTGCAGTGCACTGTGTGTTCAGAAACCTTTCTATTGGAACCTGAATTAACAGTTTCAGCAACTTGACTTAAAGGTGCTCTTCTATTGGATTGGTTTACCAGTTTTCCTTCCTTGGACCCCTTCTGGTAGGTCCTAACCACTGCAGACCAGGAACGTCCAAAGATCTGTAGTTTTGGAGATGCTCTGACCCATTTGTCTAGGTATGACAAATTGGCCCTCGTCAAAGTCACTCAAATCATTACGCTTGCCCATTTTTTCTGCACATCAATAAAATGTTCACTTGCTGCCTAGTATATCCCACCCATTTCTATATGCTATTGTAATGAGATAATCAATGTTATTAACTTCACTTCTCAGTGGTCATAATGTTATGGCTGATCAGAGTATATTATACAAGGTCATATGATCCAGATTCCATTTAAACCTCTATTATCATGTCAGCATCCAAGGCAAATACACAAAACAAGACACACAAACACAGAAAAAAACAAAATCGGTGCCCTATACCCATGCAAGTGAAATCACTCAGCATACAGTATATTAGCAGTAAGTTGTTAGAGAATGACATATCACTGGACGGGGCAGTGTAAGAATGACTCCATAGGAAGATGTGAATTGAATGTTAACGATTCCCCTGTGCGTGTGTCCCAAATTATCTACAGTTTAATCAGTGCGACTACATTACACGTGTGCTAGCATTGTGCACCTTGCTGCATCTTTGGAGCTGTTTGCAGCACATCTTCCATAGTGATAAATAAAGTGTAACATAATGCAAATGTACAGCAGATGTGTGAATGTACCTCGTTTTTTTACAGACCATATACATGGAGCTCAAATTACAAACAGAGCTGATTATTTAGAAGAATAACTCATCCCTCCCTTCCTCTACTCTCCTTTCATTCTCTGTGTATTGAGTTTTAGTCATAGAGAGACAGACACAAAGGGAGAAGCTATTGGTGTACTCTCTTATTAGAGAACTTATAATTCTCTGCAAAACTAGCCTCATGGGTGCATCCTGTAAGCAATGCATTTTGGGAACATAAAGAACCTGATATAAAAAAATTAAACAAAATTCATCCAAAACCACTTACAGTTTCCTTTTTAGGGACAGATATTTATGTAATAATTCTATTTTATTTTCAACACAATAATTTACATGCCAATGGTTTTTACAGTGGGAGTGCTTTGCAACTAAAATTGATACTGAAAATAAAAAAAAGCTTTCCTTTTGCTGGGAAGAATCAACAGTATATTAGTAATAGTGGTAACCCAAGAAACGGTGTCATTATCATACACACCTGACCGAGAAGCCTCTGACTGCAGAAGCCCTCTCTGACCCATGTCATGTACTCGTTTTGTAACAGTCACATTGAATCTGAACCAGTGCCACTTTTATCAAAGGCTTCTCTGCCAAGCATGTGTCAGTTGAAAGATACCCTTTAATGGTAGGTTGTTTGATAATGTGGATTTTTCCAGGGCTGGTAATACACAAGTAACAATAATTGTAGGAAAAAAAATAAAGGCAACTGATGTTTTTGTTTGAAAAAATGTTAGTTCTTCATGTTTGCTAGTAAATAAAAAGTCATACATTACATACATAGCTCATTAGGACCCATTCACACCTAGGCATATCCCCCAACTATACCTCATTTGGAGGGACTATGCCTCTTTTGAAACCAAATGCTTCTGTTACTCTTCCTCCTCAGTTGACACTCTTTGTGGTCTAATGTGTAGACACTAAACCTTTCACCCAGCCTCTAAATGACAACATTTGTTGTTTTGAATATCCAGTATAAAGGAAAAGTAGTGATGAAAAGAAGCACTTGTGTGTATGACCAATTATTTTTTTTTTTTATTAATTCTTCTTAGTCCTCGTAACTATGGGTGTGGGAGCTGAGAGGGATGAATCCTTTGTTTCAGTACTTTGTGGTAAAAGGTGTCCCTCTTTCTCATCTCAGTAGGTTGGAGGTATGTCTAGGCATTCTATTGTGGTGCATTAGCATTATGTCACGGCTTGCACTAAGGCAGCCCATTCATTTAACATGCTACCAACGCACCAAAACAGACAGAAAAGTGAACAAGAACCATTTTTTTCAAATGCAGTGCACCTTAATGCATTAGAGTGCCACTGCAACGTCAGAATGCACTGCAATGGATAAATCCGAAGGGCCCTTCTATACAGTATCCTGGGAGCTCAGCTGGTAAAATATCCGTACCAGAATTCCATGTTCTGCTCAGCTGAAACAGCCCTGGAGCCAAATGATAGTATCACTCTCCCTAAATAGATGTACAAAGTAAGGCTAGAGAAAAGATATTTCAATTTTATAATGGCGTATAAATAAACACCATAATAATAACAACAGGTATATGCTTCTCAGTGTGTCATTGACTAGTAGCCTTCTCTTAAACAATATCACATTCTAAATGGTGACTAGGAGCCCAGAACATTGTGGCACCTTCATAAAAGATAGGATGTAAGTAAATGGTGATGTACCAGATTTAAGTACATTGCAGAGCTGCTGCCTTCATTTTCTTCTCCACTCTTGCAGGAATCTGTGGGTGTAGGTAGGAAAGAAAATCAATATTAACAAAATTCATTAATATTTTCAGTATGCTTCTATAACACAGACGAGTCCCAGAGGTGGCACATGCTGCAACTATATGACCAGATGGTGCCTACTGGTTTAAAGGATCATTTTCATTGTATTGAAAACATGTCAAGCTGTTTAATTCTATTATGACTCATCATCTTATACGTTAATCTGTCAAATACTTCAGCTACCTGTCTTACACTCCACTTTAATGCTTCTGTTGTATCTGTAATGGGTTAGGTCACTCATATTTCTTATGTCTATAAGTAGGTAAATAAATAGGTAGTGAATTTCCAGCTGCTGGGGAACTGCAATTTCCAGCATGTCCTGTCAGCTCCCTGGTCTGATATGCTAGGAGTTATAATACTGCAACACATGGAAATCTAATGGCTGGCTATCATTATACTAGTGTCTGGGAGAGGAGGGGAGATCTAAGCACCTGAATTGCCTGGTCCATCCCTTTGCTCTCAAGAAGTCACATTCCAAGATGGATTTCATATACTCAAAATCAGAGATAGGCAAACTCTGGCCCTCCATCTGTGGTGAAACTACAAATCACATTATGCATCTGTATCTGGAAGTCATACCTGTGGCTGTCGAAGTCTTGCAATGCATAGTGGGATTTATAGTTGCATCACAGGTGGAGGGCTCGGAGTTTGTCTACCCCTGCGTTAAATTATGGAGAATGCAGAAGTTAGACTCCAAAGGTCTTGAGAAAATGAACCATGGGGTAAAAAACCCACAGTTGGAATCTCCAAGAGCCAAAAAAGCCACAATGCTAACCATTCTTTCTGTACTAACCTGAAACATATGTAAAGTTAACATTGTATTTTGAAATGGCATCAATCCCCTAACTAGTTTGTTTTATTGATTTTATATAATGGATAGTGGAACAGAAAGAGTCAACCGATGTGGTGGAATATCTCGTAATTGCATTAATATCTACATCCAGTGTACCTGTGACCATTTATACATTAAATATCAACGTTTGAGCATCTAGGTTAAGGCATCTAGTATTAACCTGAAACTGAAATAGGAAAGATACCAAGGAGGTCATATTGTGTATTTGATACATGTATTCAATCGCAGGAAAGGTGACAGTAAACACACTGTGGACAATAGAAAGTGAGAGGTTGATGGTGTTGCTGAGAAGAATGGTTAATGATCTTATTTTGGGTTCAGTAAAGACAAAGATTGAATACAAATAGGCCAACAAACAACCCTGCTTCCATAATGAACGAGTGAAAGCAACCAGACTGCTGTCTATCCTGATCACGTATCAGCTTTGCCTTTCTTTCTTGGCACTGTCCTTGTATCGCTTTTTATTTTTTGTCTTTTGTATTGTCTCCCAGCATTCCATTCATGATTCAAAGCTTTGTTGTGAAATCTTGCTCTTTTATTAAAAAAAATTTTTCTCTGTGTCTGCAGAGGCTGTGAAGTATTTAGAGTGCTCGGCTCTCACGCAGCGTGGACTAAAGACAGTGTTTGATGAGGCTATTAGAGCTGTGCTATGTCCACCACCCACCCGGACCAAAAGTCCCAAGTGTGTCTTGGTGTAAAAGGTGAGCTACAGATTGAACATGGAATGTCTGCACTTCTCTGATCTTTATTTCTTATTTGACCTTTCATGAGGTGTATTATCGAAAGCACCTAATGTATATGTAAACCCGAATCACTAAAGTCTCAGATACGCTTTAACAATTTTTCTAATTTATTACTAATTAATTATGTATTGTAATTTCATAAGTCATTTTGATTATTGTTAGATCTAGAGCTATCATTAAAATATATTACCTGGTGATTCTGCCATTAAGGTCCATATTCAGGCACCCCCTTCATGGAGTGGCAATTGTGCTCTTGCATTTCCACCCTGTCACATGGGCTCCCAATGGAGTACCAGCCGCCCTTTCAGCACACATTGTGCAAGCATGGTCCACTGCTGAAGAAAGACAGTGCATGCATGTAGACATGAGAGGCTGCAAAGTGATTGCAGGAGATCCACAGTGATTAGATGCAGCAAAGGGTTAAAAAAGATGAAAATAAGTATTTAATTTAAAACAAGGAAATTGTTTCTGATAAAGTGATTTATCAAAAAAATGTAATGCACATCTACTTTAACAGGTTTTGCACAAAGGAAAAAATATGTATATTTTAGCACATTTTATTTATATTGCCACATATTGCCACATACTGTTTGCCACAAGAGGGAGCTGCATTTTCGGAGTCTTGTTATTGTATGCACATGTTCCGTTTTCTGATTTATCTTGCACTTGATTACATCTCTATGGTTGTTTATTTCTAGAACCGTCATTCACTCGGCTGCCCTCGGCAGCTTAGTGAATAGACCCCAATATGTTTTTAAAGTGACTCTGTCAAAGTAAGCTTCTTGTAAATATTGAATGTTTACACTCATTTGTCCCACAGCTCAGCGTGAATGCTTATTCTGTTCAAGAGTTAAGGATTCCGGCAAAATCTGCAGTATCTGACACTTACAGGAGTGTTGGATGCCTGTGTTCCCCCTGCCATAAAGGTGCATTAGTCCACCCTCTCTACCCTCTAACCTGATTTAGCCTTGAAACCCCCACCCAGCTGCTTACTTACCTCAGCTTGACAACAGCCATGGCTTCCTTCACTGTTTAAATGCTAGGGGCATGTAACAGGGTGTTAGACTTGTAGTTCACACTTTCTTCCACAAGATGTCTCCACCTGTAATTAGCTCCTTAATTGGTTTCACTAGAACTTTTTCCTGTTTGTTTGGCACTAGGGGGAAGTCAGGCTTGGCACCAGTGTGTCCACCATCTTGGATGAGCCTGCATTTTATTGGAAACAGAGTTCTCTTGAGAATTGGGTGGCCATCTTGTAGACTGTGAGGATATGCTGTATATATGCCTTGCTGTGGCCATGTGGTGAGCCCTGCCGGGTGAGGACCGTGCACACTGGCTATAGAGAGATAGGCCTAGTGCAGGGAAAGGTTCCTGTCAAGCAGGCACAGAAAAGGGACGGTCTGGAATACCGCTGGAGACATCTGCAGCTTAGGGAAAAACCTTGGTCCAGTTTTCATCTAGATTGGCACATTCTGCGTCTAGTTTCACCAGCACAGCACCCTATAAGGAGGCCACTGACTGTATGCCAGCAGAGAACCCATCATGGAGCACTCCTTGAGCATACTAACACTTGTAAGTCTGCCTATTTGGGACTTGATTGTACCATAATGGGGAAAGTTACACTTTGTTATCCTGTCATTGTCAAGACAAGGTAAGATACTGTTGTCTAAGTGGTATTGCCATAGATTCCTCAGGAGGAATAAAATAGGCAGAAATACTGACTCTTTTTAGTGGACAGCACACATGATGCAGTTTCTTGTAGAATAGCAGTGAACTCATGAATACAGGCACTAGTAATACTCTCTAGGAGTATGTATTCTTAGCTAAGTACACAGAATGCAACTTATTAATTTTGTCTATTTAATATACAGAGACAGGCAGTGCATAGAAATATGTACAAAATTAAAAATTACAAAAAAGACAAGAAAGAAATTTGCTTTGGAATACAAACGGAGTAAAACCAGAAATAAACTTTACCATTTGGGTAAAGATTAATCCACTGGTGGGGAGTGCACAAGTTCTGTAACCACTATGTTTTGGACAAATTACCATGTTAATTTATTTTGCTATTACAAATATAATCACAGGATTATAATTTAAAAAATCCCTATCAATGTAGCTGTATCACAGCAAAAAATAGATAAACAATAATGTGCAGCACTATAGCTGCCTTAAACTAATGTGCAAAAAAGTGCTAATTGACATAAATTGTTCACAAAAATTAAACCATCTAACGAAAAATTGCTTCACTATAAAGTGGTAAATACCATAAAATTATTCAGAAAAATCAAGCCTACAAATATATCAAGTAAAATTAATCACCATAATAACAACTTGCAAATTTCCAATCAAAGTTCATAAATATCAGTCCTTGTGCAAAAGTAATATACAGAGGCTGCCAAAGAAATGTGTACACATTTTAAGAAAAGAAAAAAAAACATGGTATTAAAATTGTAATGCACAATATATACCGATAACAAAAGGTGAATACAAGTCACTTTTCCAATTACAAGAGGTGCTCAATGTGGCTACCATCAGTGTCCAGACACTTTTGATTACGGCGAACTATTGCTTGAGCAACGTTGATCAAAGTGCCCACTTGTATCGCTGCTCATGCCGTTTCAATTTCTTCCTGAAGTACTGCCAGTGTAGTTGGTTTTCTACGGTACACCACATCCTTTAAGGTCCCCCATTGGTAGAAGTCAAGGGGTGTTAAGTCAGAAGAACGTGGGGGAAACTCAACCCCACCTCTTCGTCCTATCCACTGCCTTGGCAAATTCTTATTGAGGTAAGTGGCGAGCATGTAAACTGATTCACAACCAATAGCAGAAGAAGCTGCTGTGCAAATCCTCGCGGATCTTCCCTTGTGCACATCACACACAGTAACATGCGTCTCATACGTATCATGAATGTGTGCAATTGTTAGGCGTGTTGGAGGTTCTGCTGCATACTCATGCCTCCATTGTCATTGTACTTTCACAACATTCTCGAATTTCAAATACCACTTCAAAATGTGTTTGCGCTGCTTGAACGACAACTGTGCTTCTGCCATTTTCTTTGACTGTCCTGCCTTAAATGTTGATGCTAGCATTCATCTTGTGAGCGAACGTCACATACACATTGCAATTATAAATTAATTAATTTTTTTAAAGTAATACATAGATAGCCTCTCTTAAAGTGTGTATACATTTTTTTGGCACCCCTGGTATATCTTTTAGGAAAAAACATTTAGCAAGTGTGTGTATAGAATAGAGAATCCAGTTCACACACCAGTGCAAGAAAACGACAATAGCCCGCTATATACTGAGTTTTGGCTCACGGGAGGACATTAGTATATGTCCTCCTTTGATCCTAAAGAGAACTATGGAATAAAAAAGGTTACCCCATAGTTCTCTTTTAAGTGTTTAGTGTTTGGTGAGTTAAGTTTTAGAGGCCTGTGTTATGGGTTAGGGAAGGTGTTAAGTGTTTAGGAAAAGAATAGTTAAATGAAAACACCAAGAATTGTCTTCGGAAAGGACTGTGAGGGTAACTGTAATGTGTTAATTACATACACCTCCATGCTGCTCTTTTTGTGATACATCTCTTTGAAAACTATGATAGGACAACAGAGGTTTTGTTAGCTTACTGCTTTCAGTGCCTGTTACTGTTTGAATGGAATGAGTCCCTTAGACTGTGGGGTTGCCATTGCAGCAAATAAATCTAATGAAATTATGCGCAGGCAGCAGAAGTGGCGAGCTAATTGTACCACTGCACTCCTATCAAAGTTTACTGAGAGCTGTATCTTAGAAATGACAGCAAGGAGGTAAGCATAATTTACACATAACATATCACACATAACTGCTGCAGAACTTTCTAAAAATAATCCTGGAGCTTTTCTTGTGGGGGGTGTTAGGGAGGTGCTACAGAATAGGTATTCTTTAGTATACGGGCACCCGTTGCTTAGAATAAATATTAACTCTTTTGCTTTATCAGGAATTGCTGGGTGCTGGAAACACTCTGTAGTCACCTCTTTTCAAAGAGTCCACAGGGCTTAAAGTGGGGTCACAAGGGGAGTCTACAGGACTTAAAGCGGGGGTGCGGCTCGCACTTGGTGACACCATTGGAGGGGGTGACACCAAAATGACTGACAGTCATTTTGGTATCTCCCCCTCCTCTGAAAAGTCGAGCACTCGGTCATGGACCGAGAGCCCGACAGTTGCACATGATAGGAGAGGACCCGGCAGCATACCTTATCTCGCCGGGTGAACGTCCCTTACTCTCTACCAGCGCCATCACCAAGATTTTAATCCAATCGAGCATCTGTGGGATGTGCTGGAAAAACAAGTCCGACCCATGGAGGCCCCATCTTGCAACATACAGAACTTAAAAGATCTGCTGCTGACGGCTTGGTGCCAGATACAACAGCATACCTTCAGAGGCCTAGTTAAGTCGATGCCTTGACGGGTCAGGGCTGTTTTGGTGACAAAAGGAGCATCTACATAAAATTACGTGTGTGGTTGTGCTGATCGATGTATATTGGACTTTAGTGGCAAATAAAATAGTACCATGGAAAAAAAAAACAAGTCTTACCATTTACAAGTGCTGTTTAAAAACTGGATCAAAGCTAACTGAGGCAACCAGTAATATTTCACACATTATTTTTCCAGTTGGACTAAATGATCGTATGAAAAAAGTGGTTGCCATGGACAACAGTTTTATTTGTTTTTTGTGAACCAGAATTACTCTAGTGTTGCAATATAATATTTAATCTATATCTTGTGAAAATATACTTAAAGCAGTGACAGTATTCATTCCCTTCTCTCAGAAGTGAAGTTCTCATCCTTAATCTTCTTTTCTTGACCACATATAGAATAGCAAAATAAAAGATTAAAACACACCATCCCCTCAATTCATCCTCAGAGGAGTCTATGCATTGTCTCTCTTTGTGAGCTTGATCTTTCTTTGTTTTATGAGAATATCTTCCATGCAGACTGTATAAAGAGAAAAATCAAACCCGTTAATATTCTTTTTGGTTGGATAGTATTTGTGGTGTTTGTAAAGCTTTTTAATTTGGCAGAAAAGAGTAACCTATTATTAATAAGAGAATACAGGGGAATAATTTAACACTCATATATGAATCATCATCCTGGCACATTTTATCACCTGCTTAAGCCTGGTGGGATGACCTAGAAAAGGCCGTAGATGAGCTATCGTCTTTTCAGTAAACCCTTATTATAGGAGAGCAATTGCAAGAATTGTATTTAAAGGAGATTTTCTAGGCTGATTAACTATTTTAATGTTGTATCATGAACCACATTTTATCCTAAATACTTTTTCCAAAAAGTAAATGGTTCAGTGGACTACCTTGCTTATGTTTTAGAATGGACTCAAGGGCTGAACTGTAGTCTTATGATTCCAAGTACTGTTTGGCTGCATTATACCATTTCACATATATTTACAAATAGAATTTATAAACTGTGTGTTGGGCTTAATAGTTGATGAGAAATTGCAAGCCTCTCAGTTAGTGGAATATATGAATTTCAACAAGTGAATTTAAAATTTACCTCAGTAGAGTAGAAAGCAAAGATCCATCTTTTTCTAACTATGATAGGGAGGGCAGATGAGGAGAGGTTAGTTGTGGAGACATATAGGAGGAGAGATGTATGATTAAGAAGTGGAAGGATCATCTATGAGATATTAATAAGAAATTAAATACCAATGAAGCTGCACATTTTGTAGATTAGCATAATTCCAGACTTGATACGGTTCAGGTTCAGAAAATTGAACATATAAATACACCATTGAGGGGTGAGGATTGCTTCTTTCTGCTTGCAAGAGAGTGTAAAGAGAGACGCCAGCTTCCTAGCAACCAGGACAGAAGCCGATGGAGGTGGAAAGTTAGCTGCCTAACACTTAATTTTGTTTCTGTTTTTTAATAGTAATAAAATAAATAGTTATACTCACCTGAACCTTGCAGTCGGCCGGCTGTTAGACTAGTCTCTGCCACTTCTCCCCACCACTGCTCCAGCGGTCTAAGGCCCTATGACCATGTCATCATGTCCTATACAGTGTATAGGATGTGAGGATGCTGATGGGCATACCATCACTTGGGCGGAGGAAGAGACAGGCTCCAGGGACTGGTCTAACAGCCAGATGGCTGCGAGGTTTAGGTGAATATAATTTTTTCATTTTCATCCCTAGATGACAACGAGCACTTAACCCTTTCAGTGCAGGGGTAGCCCCACTGCAAGGGTTAAGAATAATTCTGCCCAGAGTTGTTCTTTAAGTAACAAGCAATTAGGTCTTTAAGCAACAGGCAGTAAAGTTAGTATAAACGCAGGTGGCCGAGATTTCACTAGTGGAGGTCAAGGCCTGTTTTCTGGAGGCCAGGCAAGACGTCACACCACACACAGGGTCTGGCTTTCAAGCCAGTATCAGTTGGATTAACAGTCTTCTCCTACTTTGGAAGTCTTCTTCAAAGCCAAATTGAAGCTATCTCTCTCTTCTTTGCAGCTTTGTCAGAAGCTCAGCTCTCTCATCCTATTTTCTGCAGCTTGTTCTGCTCACACAGCAACTCTCTCTTTCCTCCCAGGGTCCCTGTTCAGCACAGCTCAGCCCTGCAGTTTTATGGCGTACAGTATTCCTCTGTTCTGTAAAGCACAGTCCACACCAGCAGTCCTCCTGGTCCTACCTCTCTGCAATTTAGTCCAGAGCACTCCCCTCCTGGCTATGCCACACCACCACCCTGTTCCACTCCAGCAGGGGCTCTCTCTCCCCTATCCCTGGGCCTCGGTGAGAGGGGTGGCCAGTCTGGCCATGGTGGCCAGTAGAAGTCTTCTCTCTCTCACTCTCTCTCCGAGTATTTGGGTGAGTACTCATACTCGCCCAAATGCTCCCTATGCCTATTCTGATACCAGAACTACATGTCCCCTGGCTTCCTGATTGGCCAGAAAGCCGGCTCCATGCTTCCTCGTCACCTGGAGAGGAGGTAGCATGTAGCCGGCTTCCCGACCAATCAGGAAGCCAGATGTCGTGTAATGACTCATCACCCGGCTTCCTGATTGGTCGGAAAACTGGCCAATCAGGAGGCAAGGCAGGGAGTTAGTACCTACCCCCCGGATTCCAGAAAGCTGGCTCCATGCCTCCTCGTCACCTGATGACAAAGGAGCATGGTGACGGCTTCCCGGCTAATCAGGAAGAAGGGCAGTGAGTCATTACATGCTGCCTGGCTTCCGTAATGGGACTAACGGGACGGCATTGATATTCGGTATCAGGAAGTATTGAAAAAAAATATTGGTACTCGTACTCGATACTGAAAAACCGGTATTGGTGCATCCCTAGTTTTCACCCTAATCTGCAAGCTTCTTCAGATTTGGCTTTAAAGGCTTTAGTCTGCACTAAATTGGCATAGTCAGAAGACCAAGTGGGCCAGGACACTTATAGCTGGCTTCTCTTCCTTGAAGAAAAAAAATAATCCTCTCACTGTCTTCTCTCTACAATGCTTAAACTATAGTATGGAAGCAGACAGGCAAGGAAAAGTGAATGACCATTTATTGAATCTGTCCATCACCCATAGACAGCCTTGCATTTAGACTTTCCAAATGGCTGGCGATTTGCTGGTCCAGCTGATAAAAAGATGTTAATGTTATTTAAGAACAGATTAAAAAGCTTTGAAAGGCTGGTGTTTTTTCCCATAAATATGGAAGCCATAGATACATTATCACAGTGTTTCTGTTTAAATACTAACAATAATATTATGTCAAGTGTAAAAATAGATATAATGCGGTTTCTTTGTTTTCATTGTTAGCTGTATTATGTTCTGACTTACAGTAGGTTGTTGGTGTCAAGAACCAGTGTTTTAGAGATGTTATAGGAAAATAGTAATTGGTTATATGTTTTTAGTATTATTTTAATATTTTTTGAACATTAGTGCAGGAGGGAAAGATGCTCAATAATAAGAAGTTTGCTTATTCATACAATTTAATCAATGTGTTTTCAATGTTGATTTGTGTACAGGAATATCCATATTTTCTGTGTACATAGCTATAGTTAACCACTGATGTAACTTTATTTCAAATGTTTAATTTTTGAAGAAGAACTCAAATTTAAAGGGTATCCACCTCCAAGATTAATTTTTTTTTATGGCCAAGAGCTTTACCCATTTCCTACTCTTTCCAAAACAAAAGTGTTAGCTATAGTTAAAGTGACACTAAACTCAGGAGTCAAATCTTTAAAATGCATTGAAGTACCTTCACTATTAACAATGTTTTGAAATATCCCTTTTGACATTAGCATTGTTTTTAGCATTTGGAGCAAATGGTAATAGGAGCCATTTGGTTCATTAGTAGCGAGACTGTTATATCTATATCTATATATATACAGTATGTATACAGAAATGTTTAGCGTCAACCTGAAAAAGAACACCCCTAGGGCTCCTACCTTCTTACTACATTTGCAAAACAAATGTAGCTACTTAACTTTTGGATTTAGTCAGCACTGACTTTGCCTTAAATACAGTAGAAGTTTGTATAACATTAAGAAGAAAAATGCATTTCTCAGATTGAAGCTGTGTAGTATGCCAAAAATGTTAAAATATCAAAGCAATGCATACACTGGCAAACATGGGTGGCATGCATGTACTGTAGGTGAATCTTCCTTCGCTCACAATGAAGTTTGCAGATAACAGGAAGCTTCCCGTTGCTGCCCCCTTACCTGTTGAAAAAAATCTGGTACTCAAAGTTGATGGATTTGTCATAAAGAATATACCGGAGTCATAATCTATTAAATGTAAAATAGTGGGAAATGATAAGACAAAGCTTTCATAAATTCTCAGGAATAAAAGATTGTAAAGATGAAAGATGTTGGAAAAGGTTCACACACTGCACTGTTGGTTTGCTCAGTAATGTGAACTTTGGGGTGCTATAAATATCTAGTGTCATAGTCTATAAATATCTAGTGTCAAAAAAATCATCAGCTTCACTGGTTTTCCATCCATTACCCACTGCATTCCTAACATATATGCACATCATTACCAATGTCCTTCACTGGATCCTTATATACGTAGGTATACATTATTATCTAACACAGTGAAAGCTCCGTCTTGTCTGCTGAATGATTATACAGTCATCCCTCATAGCTTTGACACCATTCCACTCACCCTTAGAGAGATCTAAGTACTGCCACCATTTAGTCACACAGCAGACTATCATGTCTTCCAGTTGTGATAAAATTAGCAATTGTGGTAGAATGACCACAGGGATATAACTGTTTTTTAAGCTTGCCACAACTCAGCATCCTGCTTAGGATCATTTGCAAAATTCTGCTGCAACCTGCAAGTGTCCCTGAAACCTCAGTATTAAATGTGAATCATACTTTGGTGTGCTAGTTCTGTTCATTATCATCCCTGGTTCCCAATAAATTGAAAAGGCTGCATTCCGAGGAGAATTGGTAGTCCTGGACATGTGTGATGCCAAGTTTAATCACACATCCGTATGTCTTTTCCAGCTTTTTTTTCAATGAAACCATCTCTGTTATTCCTTTTCATCACATTATTCAAAAATGCTAACCAACGCTGTCAATATGCAAATGCGTTAGAATGCATGTCATGGCATCATTTCTAGTTAGACAAGAGGTGAAAGGGGCTTGGATTCTGCTGTGTACAGTACAGCATCTCACGGATTCTATTCTTCCTGTGCCTGATTGTCTGTCTTTTGTTCTATACAGGATCTCAGAAGAGGATTCCCCAGCCTCCTACAGCAGACACTTGCAAGCCCTCCGCCACCAACCCGTTCCTTAAACGCCTTATTTTTCTTTCTATCACCAAGGGATATTTGACTGCCTGAATTTTCCATTGTCTGCATTGCTATCTTCGCTGTTGATTTGAAGAAAAAAAAAGAAAAAATCCATTGTTCTCTTGTAAGCATGTATACTGTTTTGGGATATAAATAAATATTTTTTAATTATTGTTTTGTGCATCATGTGGACTGCTGACCTGAAATACTTTCCATTACTTTTCTTGATACACATGTCCATGCTATAAGCTATTGATGGGAGACATAGGCTTGCAGTATTTTACGCAGCAAGTGTTTGCTGGACCATGTAATTGATATGTCATTATATGTGATGATATGTCTGTATCCCCTAGGTGGCTGCTGTGTAAGTGCAAGCTATGGGTGCATTGGTATGTGTGTGTATGTGTGTCAGCGCGTTGGGGTTAGCAGAGGGATATGAATGGGGCAGGATGGATGCATGCGGAAAAATGAATGAGGTAGAGAGGGGGAGAATGAGTGTAAGGAATGACGCAGTGAAGTGGGGGAGGTCACTGTATGACTCCCATTAACTCACTATCTGCCACTTACCAAGCAACCTCTCTTTACAATAACTGGTGTTGCCGCGGAAAGGGTTACCAGCAGGGGATTTTTCTTTTTCCCCCAGTCCCTTTGGGGAAATCACATTTCCCCTGCTTCATCAATGAATTATTTAAAATACATGTATCTACTGGTGGCATCAGTGCAGAGATGCATGCAATATGCTGCACAGCTAAGAAAATAGTTAATGCATCTCCCCTCTGCTTTCTTCATTCTTTCTTCACCTTTTCTAAATTTCCTTTTTAAATGTTCACTCTTTCTGTGTGTCCATCCCTCTCTCTCCCTATGTATTTATAGCTCTCTCTCCCTCACTCCCACTCACTCCCCCTCTCTCCACCTTCTCAGTCCCTGATTGGTTTGCAACCTGTGTGCCACTGACAGACAAATCCTTGATACGGGGAGATAGAGACACAGGGAAACTGAAACAGTGCGAACAGGTTAAAAGCACAGAAAGAAGGACCGTGAAATTGTAAAGGAGAAATCAAGCCAGTAGAGGCACCTGGGAGATGCACTCGTGCAGGTGAAACTGACCCAAGCAAGTCATCAGAAGCTGCAAGAAACACCTCTGCCTACTTGCAAGAGGCACACAACAGTTTTTTCCCAATTAGTGAGCCACATCTGATATAGGAGAGTCCTTGCTCAGGTATGTGTAAGTAATAGAACTGTCAACAATGCACTCAAATATTTATATTTTTCAAAAACATACTATGAAGCATCATTAGGCTCATGAGCTTGGCGCAATTAAGTTAATTCATAGCCAGGTAAGTTGATCAGTCATCGGTTGTCTTGGGTTACTGCACATCATTCCTCTTTGCACTTGTCTTTAAATACATCCATTAGTATATTTTTAGCCTTCCGTTGCACTCTCATGTTTTCCAAGATTTTAATTTGTGGTAGCGACAGTTTTTGTCTATCCTCGTGTTTGTCAGGCAGCACGCTTCTACATCTGCATTGAAAAGTCAGGCTGAATAGATGAGATATTAGTCTGTTGCTGCATCTTTTCTCTGACTTATATCTGCAACCTGCTCATAAAATGAGATTGGTCCTCGGGGGCTTGCACTTTGACCCTGTATGATTTGTATGACCCTGTTTTTCATATACAGTCTATGTTTCACTGCATATATATCTCTTATTACTATTTACAATATATCAGACTTTGTAGGGCAGTGCAAAGGGCAGTGATGACGGTGGTGCAGTAACCAACAGCAACCAGTTAGATTTTAGTTTACTAAAGGAAGCGCATTGAAATGTTATATGTGATCGGTTTCTATAGATGAATGTACTTTTTGTACCATTCTTTACTTATACTGAAGGTTAAACCCATACACTCCATATAGGTCTTAATTGATGTTCCATCTTTACTCTTTATGAGACTTTGTGTGTGCTACATTTTTCTGTAGCAGTGAATCACATTATGTATGGACCTTTTTTTTCTTTTTATAGTTGTCCTTGGGGACAACGTTTACATATTGATGTCTATCATTATAATAGTGTCCTTTTGTACAGCACTTGCTTATTCTATGGCACATTGTGCCTTTGCATACATTGCTTGTTGAGTCTGCGTCACTGAATGTGCCTCTTAGTCACCGTCCTTGATACTTTTTTGGTATACAAATATCTATTTTGTCTACTTTATGTAATATTGTGCATTGTATTAACCTATCTGTTTTTTTTTTGTTTTTTTTTTATATATATGACATTGGACTTCATTCCCAGTGAATTTCCCTTTGCCTTTTTTTGCAAGTACATTAGGTACTTTAACATCTAATCTAGTTGTGGTAGAGTTAAAAGAGTCAGGAAGTTAATTATCAGCGTCCAGTCACACAGTGACACAAGCCACGGGACACACATACATGTGAAGTGACTGATAAAGATTGTGAGAAAAAAATAACCCTTTGTAATGCTGGTACCCAGTTCTAATTAACAAGCTTAGTCTTATAAAGACTTTTGTTCCCTACAGTATGTTGCGCTAGCTAACAATGATTAACATTGATTACACTAGACTCAGAGTCACGTACAGGGAGTAAGATTCTCTTTTTGTGTGTGTGTGTAATACGAACAGATTCAGTGTAACCACAACAGTATCGCATTGTATGAGCTACAAACAGCAGTAATGGAGATTCATGAGTGACTGCCATCCTGTAGGAAAGCGATGCACCAGATTGGAACCTTTCTTTAAATTCTCCATTGTTCTCTGCTCATTGTGTAGAAATATTTAGGAAGGGTCTTGTAAACCGGCATTTCAAAAAACGGATGGAACCTCCATGCAGGCAGGCAGATGAAGCCAAATTGAGCTGAAAGAAATCTACGAGGTTGTTTGCATTATGTCTACTATGGTCCACATTAGGTCTGCTGGGGGCAACACTTTTTTAATTAAAGAAAAAGATTGTGGAACTTCAGAATTATATAAGCATTAGTACAAATTGCAATTTTCAGTATTTAGTCATAGAGATAGAAACCATTAAACCTTTCCTGATGGATTTAGCTGCAACATTTTGTATGAAGGTGCAACTTATCGACTAGTGAAACGTTGGTGGTGCATTATTTTTTGTTCTTTAAAAAGGGCCACAGTCAAGAAGTAAATGGGCGGAAACGTGAGTCATAAAACACCAGTTTCAAATGCAAGGTGATCTGAGCTATAAGGTTAACCTTTGCAAACCACGTATTTATTAGTAATGCAGTACAAAGAGCAATAGTGATGTATAAGTGTGCTATTCCAAAGCTTCAGTTTTCACATTTCACTGAAATCACAGCTTACTTATTGCTAAGGGTTACTACACTTTAGACTTTACGCCATCCAATAAAGCTGATAGAGTAACAGTCATTAGTGTGACTGTTTTCTCTAGGAGGATCCTAAAAAGTAGGGGAAAGCAAAAGTAGAGGTGGAGTCCTTACCAACCAACCAGCTTTGTTGTTTTATTTTTAAACATTTACTATTACTCACCTGTCTACTGGTTATTTAATACGATGGCTCAGCATTTCCCTTTTAGATTTTTAGAACAGCCCATACACATCTGTTGTGTGAAGAAACAACAATTTTTCTTTTACAATATTTCTGAACCAATTTTAAAATGTAACAATCATTGGCATAGAGTTACAATGGTGAATATTCAGTGACCCATTGTGTAGATATTTTGTAATACACATGCATATACAAATTATGTTGCCCCAATTGGGCCCCACAAGGCAATATCTAGTATACAGCAGTAGCTCTTAGAGGTGGAGGAGAAAGTAAACAAAACGGTTAGGTAGAATCGTGAAAGTATTAGGTAGAATCAAGGAAGGGAGAGGGGGTAAGGTAGTGTATGCATTCATTCAGGATCTCTAAAGGTCTAGCAGCTGGCGATCACAATTACCTGATACATAACAGGTGATCCTGGGTTCACAACATTTTTAAAAATAGGCATAGGGGTCAATTCACAAAGCTCTGCGTTATGAGAGTAGAAGTTAATTTATCTATCCTTATTTTACCACTCTTTATTTTACTGGCTGAAACATGCAATTCACAAAAGCCGGAATCGTTAATGCACACGCAGTTTAACGTTCCTTAAGCAAGTGTTATTTTAACATCACAGACTTTATTTTATCTATTGCTGTGATAAAATAACGTTTTGGGTGTTATTTTAACACTTTTGCAGTGCATTTTGGTAGCAGAAGGGGTGGAGCAGATGCCTAAATTACTGTTACTTTCACTTTCACCACACAAAAGGATTCCACATAGAAGGAAGGAATATATTCCATATTCGCCACATGCATACTAATTTTACATTTGGTAGAGAAGAAATCATATAGAAATAACTAACTTTTTTTCTGAACGGAATGAATATATGAAACATTAGATTTATTTAGATCTACATCTGTTGACAATCAGGCAGTGTAGGGAGAGCAATCAATTCTCCTTACCACCTATAAAGCCTGTCTTGATATTAAATATGTTGCATGGAACAATCCACTTGCTCTACAACCCCCACTGAAGTGTGTCCAGGGACATTTGATTTTTCATGTCATGTGAGATTTGCCACTAACCTCAAACTGTAAAAAATCATCTACATTTGTAGAAGGATAAAAACTGTAGAAATGACAACTACATGCCATCTTCTTCTGTACGCAAAAGCATTAAACCATGTGAAAATGAAGAAAAAAAGGTTCCATTTTATATACCTCATGTCATCTCAGTGCAACAAGCATCAGATAACGCCTGAAATCTGTCATAACGCCACCCTGAAGGAGGTGATAAATCTACGTCTCAATAACGAGTGATAAAAGGACCTTTTCCTTTTGTGAATTGCATTTCAAGCATATTTTATCACTCCAGTTGTTAAAATAACGTCTGAATAGTTAAAATAACGTCTGGATAGTTAAAATAACATCTGAATAGTTAATTTAGCACTTCTTAAAAAAAGGAAGCGTTATTGAGTTTTGTGAATTGACTAACTCTAAACAGCAACTATATAACAAGCGATATCAATGAAATAACGGCCGA